GGTCTTGTGAGCTATTATCAGACACAGCCAGCTCCAAGACAGGAAAGTGGGGCAAGGAGGATATTTTCAGTTTCTGTGACCTACCTAGGGGAGGAGAAATGTTAGTTTCTAGAAGCTGCCTTCCTGCCTTAGGAGAGAAAGCAGGGGAGGGAGGGACAGGCAAGAGGGAGGGGAGGGGGGAGGGAGGGGAGGGGCAGACAAGAGGGAGGGGAGGGAGGGACAGGCAAGAGGGAGGGGAGGGAAGGGGAGGGGAAGGCAGAGGAATGGGGGGGGCAGGGAGCACACAAACACTGTCAGAGGCCGAAAGTGCCCCAACATTATAACAAAAGATGACCGTTCACCTTTACTACTGCTCTAAAGCTATTCCAAAGTTAGTTCACGCATCAAGGGCAGAAAAATCCAAATACTTCAACAAAAAATACACTTATGCTAGGAAATAACAAGGTCTACCGAGTTACAAATCAGGACCATGGAGAAACAAAACAGAATACCACATGTAAGCCAGGCATTGGTGGCTCATTCCTGGCTACTCAAGAGGCTGAGATCTGCAAATTACAGCTCAAACCCAGCCAGGGCAGGAAGTCCATGAGACTCTTAGCTCCAGTTAACCACCAGAAAAGCTGGAAGTGGGACTGTGGCTCAGGTGAAAGAGTGTCAGCCTTGAGCAAAGAAGCTAAGGGACAGTGCCCAGGCCCTGAGTTCGGGCCACAGACAGACAGACAAACACACACACACACACACACACACACACACTCTTTATCTTTAGATCCCTGCCTTACTTAGCATTATGTCCTTCGAGGTTAAACCATTGTGTTGCCAAATCTCAAGATTTCTGTCCTCAGACCTCAGCCTTCTTGAGAGCCACCAAACATGAGCCACCAAAACCAGGCAAGAAATACTTTCTCCTCTCACTTATTTGTGAAAACTAAACAGGTCTAATTTGTGGAAAGAGAGTAGAATGGTGATTATCACAGACTGAGCCTGGAAAAACATGTATCACAACATCACTCTGCTGGCTGGGGTTATAACAGTGTTAGAGCACAAGGCCCTGAGTTTGATTCCCAACTCTGCCCCTTCCCCAAATTATACTGTACAACTTGAATATCTATGCACGTGCTTATGCACATATTTAATATACCTCAATAACGCTGTGAAAAAGTACAAGTACATGGATGAAGTCACAATAACAAAAGCAGGATTTTTCTGAGAGTGATAGGTCCAGCCCCTGCAGGGTTCCTCGAGGTAGCCAGAGGTGATCTGTTTCCAAGCGCTTTGGAACCAAACAGGTAAAGCTCCTTAGGCCAGAAATGTGAGATTTTTTGTCTCTTTAATAGCAAGTGCTTTTTGTTTACCTGTATTATAAATACTAAGCAATATAACAAACTTAGTGTATGTTGTGATCATGAATATTTCATGTTTCTTTCTCCTATATGTGGTAATCTTGTATATTAAATGCTCCTGCAGACTTAACCTGCATTGTTAGTGTAGTGCCCAATTGCGTTGTATTTGCTCACGGCCTCCGGAGTATTCTGAGCCTCTCATCCTCTACCCTGAGGCCCAGGTGTGCTGCTTCTTGGGCACTGACACGGTGGTGAGAAGTCTATACTTCCATCATTCATAAGGAAATGGAGAGACTTCGAAAAGCTAAGTGAAGTACACCAGATCCAAAGAAGCATAGGTTGTAAGGTTTCCCTCATTTGTAATAATTAGAATGTGCCTATAAATCTACAAATAAACACAATGGATGCTAAAATACAAAAAAATTACACTTGGACATGATATAAATCAAATGGGACTTTAAACATGCACAGAGTAAGACCAAAGAACAAAGGAGAGGCCCACAGCAGCTCAGGAGCTCTGTGTATGATCACTTATCCAGATGAGCTCCAAGAAAAGGAATAGCGGGCTTTTTTGTTATTTTGCTTTTGGGTTTTGGTTTTGTTTCCCTCCCCCCCCACCTTTGTGGCTGTTTTTTCTTTCTGTATCTTTTGTCTGTATGTAAGTTGATCTGTTTGGGGAAGGCTAAGGGGCCACAGAAATGGTGGGATAAAGGGTGAGCAAATGCTGCAGTGACAGTCACTGGACACTGTTGAAAAAGAGCTGCACAGCTTGTAGGGGAGGAGAGTCGAGGGGAAAACTGGGAGAAAACAAGGGAAAGTTGACATTGTTTAAAAAGAAATAAACATGTCACCTGACTTCTGCCACTATAACCCCTCTGTACATCACCTTTACAAAAAAAAAAAAAAAACCCTGGACAAAGCCGGGCACTGGCCGCTCACACCTCTAATCCTAGCTACTCAAGAGGCCGAGATCTGAGAATCAAGCAGGAAGGTCAGTGAGACTCTTAGCTCCAATTAACCACTTAACGCCCAGGAGCAGAGCTGTGGCTCAAAGTGGTAGAGCGCTAGCTAGCCTTGAGCAAAAATGCTGAGGGACAGCACCCAGGCCATGAGTCCAAGACCCATGACATACACAAGCCAAAAACAACTGTGGACACTCAGAAAAAGACATAATGCATGTGCTTGTTATTGTGAAGTTTTAAGAGTTGCGCATGCTTTAGGTTCTAGGCCTTTGTCAGCTATATGGTTTGCAAATGTTTCTCCCGGCCTGCTGGAAGTCTTCTTATTTGTTCACCTAGCTTGCCTGGTCCTCCCACCTCCCAGCCCCTTCTCTCTTTTGTGGTACTGATGATAGAACCCAGGGTCTTGTGCTTGCTAGGCAAACATTCTATTACTTAAGCCATGCTTTTTTGTTTGCTTTTTTACAGTATCCAGACTTTGCCCAGGCTAGTCTTAGACTGTTATCCTCCTGCTTAGCTGGCATTACAGCTATATGCTACCACACCTGGCCCTCATTCTTTTTAGAGTTCAATTGTAACTAATTCTTTAGAGTTCAATTATAGCTAGGTATAATTAAAAATTGTATTTTTTTTTGGCTAGGCACCTAGTGGCTCACTGTAACCCTAGCTACTCAGGAGGCTGAGATCTGAGGATCACAGTTTGAAGCCATCTGGGGCAGGGAAGTCCATGATATTCTTATCTCCAATTAATCACTGAAAAAGCTGGAAGTGGCACTATGGCTGAAGTGCTAGAACACGAGCCTTGAGCAAAAAGCTCAGGGACAGTGCTCAAGCCCCAGGGCCAGCAAAAAAACACCACCACTGCCAACATTTCATTTTTTCCAATCCATTTAAGTGTCCTTGATAGACACTTAGGTTGATTCTGGATCTGTTTCGAATGGTATCAAAGTGACCATGAGAGTGTGGGTTTATCTTCATTAAACTCATTGCATTTCCTTTCATTTATACCAGGAGTGAAATAGATGGGTCCAATGGTCATTCTGTTTTTAATTTATGAACGTGTGGGTAAGCCTGTAAGAAATGACCTAGCAGAGCAGAAACAAACTTGATGTGGGAGGAAGGGGTGGGACAGGCATACACCAAGACAGAGGAGGAAGAATCACCAAAGCCAGAGCAGAAAATCACTGGTGAGGGTTATCTCTAAAGCTGACTCGATTTGCACTTTTTCTGGAATTCAGTTTATTTCTTGTGCTCAATAAAGATCTCACAGAGAGCAGCCCCATGCCAGCATGTGCCAGGGATACACAAGTGAGCCAAGCCCTGTGGAGAGCCTTAAGTGGCCTGGCCGTTTGGAGCTGGGATAGCGACCCAGAGCCTGTCAGGCTTTTGCTCCACCTCCTACCTTAGGAAAGCCAGTGATGATGTCCTAGGCAGCATTGGAATAGATCACTGTCCTTCCAGATCTCCAGTCTACCCTGTGCCCACCCCTTGGTCTGTATTTTCATTTTCACTAACTTATTTGTCCACATTCACTTCCAGGTTTAGATTTTAAAAAAGAATTGAATTTCACATGACACATGGTGAACCGTATGAAAGTTAATAATTCATGGCATTTAGCACATTTGCAGTATTGTGTAACTGTCACTTCTGGCTAGTTCCATTGCAAGAGAAAAATCTTGTACCTGCTACTTCCCCCCTCTTCCAGCTCTGAACAATAATTAATCTGCTTGGTCTCTGAATTGGCCTATTCTGGGCACTCCATATATCATATGTAATTTAGGGTCTGGTTCACTTCACTTAGTATTATGGTTCACTTAACACTGTACAATGAAACAGCATTTCATTGATTTAGAAAACACAATCTAAAAGTCAATTACCAGTTGATGAGTATCTGGGTTGCACACACCTAGGAGTGGATTGACTGGATTATGAGCTGCTTTGTTCTCAATCCAGAAATCCAATAAACATTGTCTTATAGAGGTGGCTGTTTGTACTTCACCCCATTCCTGACAAAGGCAACCCAACAAATGACAAGCTCTACACCAGCATTCCCCGAGTGGAACTTTCTGGAATAGGAAACATTCTGAATCTACGTTCTCTAACATCCACTGGCTATGCATCGCCAGTGCATCTTCACATTTCTTAATTTAAAAAGCAAATGTCCCCAGTGGGTTGTGGCTGTGTTGACCGCTTGGCCTTGGAGGTGGAGATTGAAAGGTTCTCAGCAGTCCTCTCACACCACCTCTTCTCCACGCTGCATTGAATGTTTCTTCAAAGATGTGATAACCTGAAACATCGACACCCAGCCCAAGGAAAGCGCCTCAACACCGAAGGGCTCGGCGATGGGGCGACCCGCCCGGGCGGGATCTGCACGCGCTTCACCGGGGCCCGCGTCGCAGCTGTGTTTCGGTGGAGTGGTGCCACTTGTACGCCGCACATCGTGTGTGTGCGTGCGCATGCGTGCGCGCACAGGGAGTCCTCCGGGTCAGTACCGTGCGATCCGGGCACCGGGACGTTCTCCACCGCAGCAGCGTCGCTGGCTCCCGACGGCGTCTGCGGAGCTCGGGCTCGAGCGTGACGCGCACCGCACAGGACGTTGTGTAACGTGTTATGTAAGTCCCGCACCGCCCCGCGGCCGGCCGCCCGCCCCGGGACCCGCCCGCGCGCGCGCGCGCAGTGTCGCTCTTTCTCGGAGGCGGTGGGTGGCTCTGAAAAGAACCGTTGGGGGCCGCGCGGGGCCGGCGCGGGGACTCACTTGCCCTTGGCCTTGTGGTGGCTCTCGGTCTTCTTGGGCAGCAGCACGGCCTGGATGTTGGGCAGCACGCCGCCCTGCGCGATGGTCACGCGGCCCAGCAGCTTGTTGAGCTCCTCGTCGTTGCGGATGGCCAGCTGCAGGTGGCGCGGGATGATGCGCGTCTTCTTGTTGTCGCGCGCCGCGTTGCCCGCCAGCTCCAGGATCTCGGCCGTCAGGTACTCCAGCACCGCCGCCAGGTACACCGGCGCGCCGGCGCCCACCCGCTCCGAGTAGTTGCCCTTGCGGAGCAGCCGGTGCACGCGGCCCACGGGGAACTGCAGGCCCGCGCGCGACGAGCGCGACTTGGCCTTGGCGCGCGCCTTCCCTCCCTGTTTGCCGCGGCCAGACATCCTCAACGCCCAGGCACCGGACTCGGAGCGAAAGAACAGCCGCGCGGAGGAGAGCGCGGGTGCGGCCCCGGCCAGTCCTTATATGTGGTCCAGAGGTAGGCTGGACGGCGCCTTCGGATTGGATGGTACCAGGAACCAATCACAAAAGGAATCCGGCAGCTCCTAATTTGCATATGCTTTTCCCGCGGGTGACGTAACGGGACCTTTCATCCAATACTAGAGGCACGCTGTGCGATCCTTCATTTGAATACGGAGCACATAAGTAGAGTTAGCGCAGCCGCTGCGCGTAGACCTCCCGAGACTGACCACCATGCCTGATCCCTCCAAGTCGGCTCCGGCCCCCAAGAAGGGGTCCAAGAAGGCAGTCACCAAGGCGCAGAAGAAGGACGGCAAGAAGCGCAAGCGCGGCCGCAAGGAGAGCTACTCCATCTACGTGTACAAGGTGCTGAAGCAGGTGCACCCCGACACCGGCATCTCGTCCAAGGCTATGGGCATCATGAACTCGTTCGTGAACGACATCTTCGAGCGCATCGCCGGCGAGGCCTCGCGCCTGGCGCACTACAACAAGCGCTCGACCATCACGTCGCGCGAGGTGCAGACGGCCGTGCGCCTGCTGCTGCCCGGGGAGCTGGCCAAGCACGCCGTGTCCGAGGGCACCAAGGCCGTCACCAAGTACACCAGCTCCAAGTGAGGCGGCGCCGCCCCAACGGCTCTTTTCAGAGCCACCTCCAAGCTCAGAAAGGAGCGTGCAGCCGGGCCTGCGCGCCGCCCGCACCGCGACCCGCACGGGCGCCAGAGGCGGGGTCGGCTCCCGTGCACGGAAGGGC